GATATATTCTTTTCCTAGTGATGATAAAAGCTATTGTACTCTTAGTACTATCTGAGGTTAATCTAAATTTTTCAGGTTAAGCAAGTTACTCCAAATAATTACCACTCATACTTCAACCTAAAAATTTAAATACTGGCTGGATTGATAGTACAGAGGTTAAGGCTCTTGCCAGACCTCCCAAGCATTTTGAGGAGTGATCCTTGAGCAGAGTCAGAGATATTCTTGAGTACTAGAAGTTATGTGTCCCACTGCCAAATAAATACATTAACGTAAAAAAATAAAATAAGAGGTTAAATACCCCGTTAAGATCGGGATCAGGAGATGGATGGCAGGAAATCCTCATACAATGATAAATGGAAATAGAGGGTGTGATGTTAGAACAAGATATGCATGAAATATTATTATTAAGAGTATTATAATCAGTGTGTTAACATTGGAAAATATATTATAAAAATAATAAATGTTTATAAAATAATAAAAGTTTAAATACCTTCTGGAAGAGAAATCAATAAAAATATGATCAGTGAACCAATTTTAGTTTATTATTGTTTTTGTAAATAAAGTTAAGTTGGAAAACTGCCACTCACATTCTGGGTTTTGTCTATGACTGTATTTGTATTATAATCACCAAACTTAGTAGTCACAAATGTCAGAGTATATATGGTACCAAAAATATGAAATATGTTTCTGTAGTCTTAACTATTAATAAATGTGTCTGCAATGTGGTAGTTAATTAATTGGCCATAAATAGTTGTTCTACTTAATGGGGGTCAATGGCCAAGTTTTCTATTTCATACAGTTACTTTAAAAACCTAACTCGTACCTTGGAAATTGAGGTATTTTTCTTTTTAACATTCCTCATGAGAGTACCTGATGACTATTCCTAGCTTTGATATCTACACATTTTGGACATAATTTACCTTTCTCAACCAGTTGAAGTCTTTCACAACCAAATAATTTCAGGAAATTACTACCAAGAAAGTTGTCATTTTAAAAAATGTCATAGTTGGTCTTTCACTGTCTATGCATTTGTAATATTAGTAGATATGTAACTTGTTTGCTAGGCAAGTCTATTGAAAACTTTCTTCATATTTCACATTCTAAATTATTCTAAATAAACTTGCAATGATTCCAAAAGAAAAACCAAAATCACCTTCATATTGCAGATTCTTTCAATAAGCATTTATTGTCCCAGAATCTTGAAACAGAAAACCTCATAAAATTTTAGATGTCTGATTAAAATAATTTATTGATCAATTTAAAATGCACAGAGAAGTTAGGATAAAGCATTAGGGTAGGCTTACAAATGCATGGCAGGATACAAGCAGGGTGGATGCTGTACTATAACTAAACCCTAATATACATACTTTTTTATGTTCTACCTTTTATATTTAATCAGCTTCCCTTTTGAAACAGAATGTTAATACCAGTGCTGGGGCTTAAATATAGGACTTCCATGGGACTAGAGAGATAACACAGTGAGTAGGAAGGTTGCCTTGGTGTGTAGTCAACCTGGATTCTATCCCTGGAACCCCTGAGCACCACCATGAGTGATCCCTGTGCACAGAGCTAGGAGTAGCCACTGAGCATCATCGCCTTGCATGGTTCCAAAACCACACACACAGAAAAAAAAGAATAAAGAAAAGAAGAAGGGAGGGACTCCAAAATACAGAACATATTTGATGTCAAAATCTAATTGGTGTATTAGAGGGCAAGTTGGCCTGGCCAAGGTGTAAATGAAAAACTCTCTCATAGATATCTATAGTCCTGTTTTTCTTACATATTACTGCAAGGTGATAAATTAGACACTTCTGTGCATCATACAACTGTAATGTATTATATACATTTAGTGACTTATGTATGCTTTATAATTTCATCCTTACTATTTTTACCAAATACTCTATACTAAATATGTCATACTAGATACTTTGGTCTATTGTTAGTTATTTCCTTTATTTGATTAGCTAGTCTTAAATAATATATAAAAAACATAATACAAATATAAAATGCCTTTATAAAGTTATGTACAGGAGAAATTTTTACATCCGGGTAAACCCTGTTGTCCATTAATTGATTTTTCCACTGATAACTTGGTGTTCTACTGGTATTTCTACTAAACATACACCCTATCTACTGGCAGCCAGGCTGGGGTAGAAGGAGAAAAAGGAAAGAAAAATTGAAAATTACTGTTGGTTTTCACTATCGTTTCACAAACATAGGGATCACTACTATTAAATTATTATTCAGATATCTATGGAAAATGTGCTTCATAACTAGATATTTCAAACTAGTAACAGAGAAAGAATGCTCAGAAAATTGTTAAGATAACTTCTCAGAAGTCTTCATTAATGAAATTCTCTTCTTTAATATGTACGGCATGGACTTTACAAAAATGCCCATCACTTTTCTCTCTATTCATTTCAGTCATGATGTCCTCTCTTTCCACAAAGGTCCTCAACTATTCACACTGAAAATAGACTAAGGATGGAACAAAGTTTGTTGGTTCGATGGTTTTATCAAGATTGCTCCCACACCTATACTAGCCTTAGATTTTGAATATATTCCTTCTCCACTACAAATAAGATCTCACCTATATATTCTCCCCTCTTTTTCTTGCTCAGTGTGCAACTTTAGAAATTTATCTATCAAGCAAAGCAACATAGACCAATATTTTTCTTTGCAAAAAGAACGGAAACTATTATAGTTAAGCTTATATTTCTTACAACATAATTTATATAGTATATAAAACCACATGATACAGAAAAATCCCTTTATTTAGGTGTCTATTTTCCAGATAAGTTCCAAAGAAGAGTTAAATCTTTTACCAGTCCCTGAACTTCAGTCTGTGCTTCAAGTCATACAATATTTTTCTTGACTATTACAAAATATATTCCATCAAATCTAAGGAGTATAAAGTCAGAAACACTTCCCTCTTTTCACTGTCATATAAATTTTAGGAGATGTGAAAATTGCATTTACAAGCTCAAAGGGAGAAAAAAAATTGAATATTTTTTGACAGTTTCGGGGTTGTACCTTGCTATACTCCGAGCTCACTGCTTCAGTGCTTGTGAGATGGCATGTGGTGCCAGGAATCAAACTGGAATTGCAAGGCTTTACCCCTGAACTATCTCTGGAGCTCTAGGTAAAGATTTATGCGACTTCTTCAAATCTAATGGTTACTTCTCATCTTCATATCTGTCCATTGCTTTGATATCTTATTTTGTTAATAAACTTAACACTAAAATATTTAACACTAAATAAAACAGTTACAAAGTTTGTCCATTTTCAGTATGACTTAAATCAGGAATTTTCAGACTTTTTATGTACACAAATCGGATAGAAGTATTTTTTTTATATCTCCTGTTAAAAAATTATAAGCACAATTGTTTTATCTTTCTCCAGTGAATAAATGATCTAGAAAAAATTTTGGGTGCCTCCCTACAAACCGGCTCTGTCTCATAAAAAGCAAATATTTATCCTTAAATCAGACTTTATATTTTGAATAATTTGAGCAATTCATACTTTTTCTTAATTTTGTTTTAAAATTAAATTGGGGATAGATGTGGTAGTTAATGTATAATTCAAGCATGATTGTAGAAATAGTAAAATCTCAATAAAAATTATCAGTGTCAGCCTCCACAATATCTACATAATACAACATAGAATCAAAAGTCTTTTTTTTTTAAAGACATGTTTTGAGTTTGTAGATTGCATACACAAAGTAGTGCCTTTATTTGTATTGCCACTTTTTGGTTTTGGGCAGAAACTGGAAAGGGAGGGCTTATGGAAATTAAAAGGGCGGGACAGTGGCTTCTCCACCCACAAACACAGTGTCATCCACGCTGATTAAAGAAGGAAAGGGAAAATAGGGATAATTATTCATTTCTATTTTTAACTAAGTGTTCTTGGGCACTAAAATACAAATGGGACCCCCTGAACTACCTCTAGGATTTTATTAGGACTCAAATACTGTCCATGTTTCCCTTATTCTGCCCCTAACCACTGAATTATTTGGTTTTACTCTGCTGAACACAAGTTCCTCTCCCTCTACAATTGCATTCAAATAATTTTTTAACCTTGTCATATATACAAGGCAATCTAATAAAAGAAATGACATTTTGAAGTGTACTTTATTTTCCCATGCCAGCCACTCTTTGCTTTCAAAATGAGCTACATTAAATATTTAGGGTGCAAATTTGTTCCTGTTCAATGTATATATACAATATATTTATATACACTAGGCCTGTGTTTATATCAATAGTGAATCTTCATATAAAATCTAAATTTGAGTGGATGGGCCTATTTCCACCTCTATACAGAGGTGCTCAGGATCTATTTCTAGCTCTATACAGAGGGATATTCACTGAGGTATTCCCTGCAGTATTCTGGGGAACCATGTGGTGCCAGGAGTTGTACTGGGGTCATCTGCATGAAACCCCTGTAGGATCACCCTGACCTTCAAATATAAGTTTACATTTAATTTTACCAGTGTTTATTTTTTAATAAGTACTTTATATTGTATGAGTTTTTGGCTTTATTAATTTCTAACTTATTAAATTTCTTTCATTTTTGTTCCCTTATAAAATTTTCATCTCTCAAAGTATCTGCTATCTTTTCAAATTTACAAAACATTTCATAATCTGCGGCATATTAAATTGTGACTTCTTAATAATTAGATAGCAGAAAATAAATTGAAAGTCAGAATTATCCACAGAGCTATATTTGTATTAATTTCAAAGGTGACAATTTCATCTTTTTCCTGTCTTTCCCAGAATTAAAGATGTTATTAGTGTATGCATGACCTGATGAGGCAGTTTTTATATAGTCATGCATTTCACTTTAAATTTTGAATCTCAAAATTGAAGATATATTAAATGAGAGCTGACTAGACATTTACAGAAATATTTCAGCATAATTTATAAAGCCTCTTTGATATCATTAAAATGGGGATATAGAGGCAAATATTAGAGAAATAATTTATAGACTTGAAATGTACTTACTTATTTTGTTTTCTTTGATCTGCATGCACAGTATGAGATCATAAAAGCAACAAACATTATCCCACCAACAATGAGTAATATCAATTCTAGCAGGGCAAGGAGGCCTAATTTCTCAGTCACTTTACTTCTGAACATTGCTGCATTTTCTTCATCAATGGTAGCAGTCTGTAATCAAATTAAATATTGGAATCATTTGGGAAGATTTTTTAGGTAGACTAACAAAGCAAAAGTATTCAAAATCCTTCCCTTATCTAACTCTTATTTCTCCAAGTACATGGGTTTGAGTTATTTATGTAAATTATCTATATAAGACAAGCCAGTGGAATCCTTTTGCTTGGAATTAAAACAGTAAAATGCCAAGGCATAATATTTATAAAGTCAAATATTGACCCATGTCATTTAAAAATGTTATATACCACTTTTCAAAATTACATCATTTGATCTTTAGAACGATCTTTCTGAAATGTTTCACTCTTTATGAAAGAATATTTCTCAGTGTTAGAGGAAACGACAAGGGTTGACAATTTCACTCCCTAAGATGATTTATGCAGTGAATTTTCTAAACCTGTCTGCAATTTTCATTAATAAAATATTCAGTTAGAAAATAGAATAAAAAAAAACCCAGTCTTTGTAAGTGCAAGTGGCTTTTATTACTGCCATAAAATTCAGTGTGTCTAGTTATTTACAGTTATAAACATACATGTATGTACTTTTCCTCCTATGACAGAAGCAACTGTTTAAAAGATGCCAACTGAAGATAATATAAAATGGTAGGATCTTTTTTGTCTTATTAAAAATAAACTATGAAAAGTAACAAAACCTTATTACTATCTTATTTTATTTTCTAAAATATTTCAAAATAATAATATGAATATCTGTCTGGGAAATTGAGACATAAAAATTCAAATTCTACATCTAAATATTAAATTACAAAACAAAAAATTACATAGAAAGAGGTTTACTACAACTGATGACTAATAAGTAAATATATTTACCTCATTAATCCAAAGAAGAGGCACAAGGTAGTTATTCTTCAGCTTCTTTAGTGCTCTGTAATATACATTGAAAATTATTTTTAATATATTCTAATAAAATACGTATGTATGATATTCAATATATGTAAAGGAAACCCCAATTTTAACTAGAATAACAAATGTTAATAAATTATTTATTCATGAAATTTAGTTAAGTTTTTTAGATTTGTACTCTATTGAAAAGAGGTTAAGAGGCCAGAGTGATAGTACTGTGGGTACAGCCTACGGCCAATGCAAGTTTGTTTCCCATCACTTCAGATGGTCCCTCAGGCCCACTCGGTGTGAACCATGAGCACAGAGTCAGGAGTAAGTGCTGAGTACTGCCAAGGTTCACCTGCCCCTTTCCTCACCCTCAGAATTGTTCAAGTGTTTTTTTTCTTTTTGGGTCACACCCGGTGATTGCATATTGTCTCTCCTGACTCATGTAATCAGGATTTACTCCTGGCAGTAATCGGGGGACCATACGGGATGCTGGGAATCAAACCCAGGTCAGCCACGTGCAAGGCAAACGCCTTACCCGCTGTACTATCACTCCAGCCCCTGAGAATTGTTCAGGTTTTAATATCGCCGTTTCTCAGACATATTTTAGGCTCAGAAAACAGATTTTTAATTTGGTTAAAGTGTTTCTAGGCATAGGATTTCAATTTCAATAAATTTGATTCAGAAAAGTAAGCCATAATTTCTAAAATATTTCTATTTTATATGAATATTTGGGCAGCTAGAAGAACAGAATTGCTCCCACGCAAAAACATTATTAAATATTTATACTAAATGGTATTTATGAATATAACAGTAAACACTAGATATAATTATAAAATACAGATAAAACCAATTATAAGTATTTAATTGTATTTATTTGAACTGGAGCGATAGCACAGCGGGTAGGGCTTTTGCCTTGCATGTGGCCGACATGGGTTCAATTCCTCCATCCCTCTCAGAGAGCCCGGCAAGCTACCAAGAGTATCCCGTCCACATGGCAGAGCCTGACAAGCTACCTGTGACGTATTCGATATGCCAAAAAACAGTAACAACAAGTGTCACAATGGAGACATTACTGGTGCCCGCTTGAGCAAATGGATGAACAACAGGAAGAAAATGCTACAGTGCTACAGTATTTATTTAATGATATTGAGCAAAATTAATTAGAAATGTACTTCCTATAAGAATACATGAAAAATCTAAGCTAAAGCAAAAGTCAAAAGGGAAAGACATTTGCCTTGTGTAAGTAAAGCTGACTTGGTTAGAACCCTGACAAACATGGTTCCCTGAAAAACATCAGGAGTAATTACTCAGTACAGAGCCAGGAATACCCCTCAAGCACTACAAGTTTTGCCTCAACCCCCCCCCAAAACAAATTTTGAAAAAAAAAAAAAGATTTACTAAAAACCATCTAACAGTAATCTTATTTAAGAGACTCACTCTATTTTTTTTGCTGGCTTGACTAGTATGTTGACCTGCAGTCGTTTTGCAAACTGTAAAGTGAATCCAGTGATCTAAAGAGAACATTATTGCCATAGTATAAAGTCTTTATAATATCCAAAACTTATTTTTAATGTCACATAGTGCTTAAGGCAAGATAGAACACATGCATGTATATGGAGATACACCCCAGTTAATTTCATTGCCTAAACTAAATGTTGGATTCTTAGATTCATGACATTTGATTATTTTTTTAGTGAATCAGCAACAATAATAGCTTCACATAATTAATCAATAATTAAAGATTGCATATAATTAATTTAATTTTCAAATTATACCTGGTCAAATACATACTTAGAACTCACATACCATTAGTTTAATCATTGTTTAAAAACAAACATGACAGCAAAATTCTGGCACTCAAATTTTGAAAAGGGTAATATTCAAATATTTAAAGTACTAAAATTTGGGAATTCAATAGATAGTATAGCAGTCATGCTTATTGTACACATGTCTGACCCTACTTCAATTCCCAGCACTCCACATAGTCCTCTGAACCCTAAGCATCAAGCCTAAAATAAGCCCTGAGCATCACTGAGTGAAATTTTGTGCTACAGTCATTTTTATAGATTTTACTAATTCAATATAATATATCTTGCTCTCATTAGTATTCAGAAAATGTATTTTAGTTGCTCATAATATATAGTCACAGTATATATGCTTTTTATATAAATAATATTGTAGTAAAATATAAAATAGGTAGAAATATATACAATTCTTTGCTTCTATTTTTCTGGGGTGGCACCCCTGATGGGACTAGGAATTTCTTCTGCTTCTGGATTCAGGGATTACTCTTGGTAATTTTTTTGGACCGTCTGTGGTAGCAAGGATGAAACAGAAGTTGGTGGTATTCAAATCAAGTGTCTTACCCCTTATATTATCTCTATAGATTTTACTTAGCTTAAAATAACTTGATAGGGATCATTTTAATGTAAATTTTATGTAAAAGTAAGATCGTTTTTATCATTGATACTCATGAATCATGAATAAAAGTCCCTTTATATAAGATACAAATTTTCATTAAATCACAGACTAAATTGTAGTTAGATATTTAACATGCAATGATATGAAGAAATCAGCATAATTTTCAATACAATAACATATCAACTGTGATGCAATAAAAATGATTGACAGAAGAGGAATTTATATTTTATTTTTATTACTTTAATCAGTATAAAATATCAATAATACATTTGCTTACAGGTTCAACATCTAAGTATGTACTATGCTCTTCTTCATTTGAATGTAAGCCTTCAATATTTGAATAAATTTCAGGAGTTGCATATAGAAAATGAGGAAGTGAAATATACACAGGTTTTCCTGAAAATAAGTTTCAACATATTATTAGGGATAAATATCCTTATTTCACAGACTACTTATAAAATATTTCCTTAAAAATAAGATATTAAAATTAAGTTAAAATACCTTTAGGTTTGAACATTGAGGGGAGAAGATAAGGAAAAAACATAATATCACTATTGTACAGAGTACATAATTCTGAATTATCCTACCAATAGTCAGTTAATATCAACAATTTATCCCATAGCTATTAATGATGTTCAATATATTAATAATGATGTTCCGTATATAAAGTTTACTCTGGGACACAACTTTTAACCAAATGTTCAGGTATCAATATGCTTTTGACTAAGATTGAATTTCTTGTCAAGATTTTCTTTCTTTCACATCTCTTTAGTGTGAAAATAGTAAGTAAAGTAGGATAAACTCCAAATTTGTGTTTCAACTCTTATTTTAGAAAAATACTAAATTTTTCATCACGAGTTGTCCCCCATGAACGGCTCTCCAGCACGGCCATGGCTCCAGAGGCGCAAGGACTTAATCCAGAGCCAGGCAGCTTGCGGCAGAAAAGTGAATGGACTATGCATTGAACTACGTCACCAAGCCTTCCCAGGAGGGAAAGGGTTTCTCTGAAATAATGAATGCAAACAAAGTAGAGAGACTTAAGTAGAAATCATCTGTCTCACAGGCATCGGGAGGGGTGGGAGAGGGGTATATTAGGGTTCTTGGTGGTGAAAAATAAGTACTGGTGCAGGAAAGGGTGTTTGATCATTGTATGACAGTGACTTAAACCTAAACGCTTTGTGACTTTTCCCACAGTGATTCAATAAATAAATATAACAAAAAAAACTAAATTTTTTTTAGTATTGAAGTCACATATTCAAAATAATTTAATAAATTAATATATACAAGAAAATCAATCAAATAAAATATTTACGCATGAGAAAAGATAAAGATCAACATTTTAAGTATTATTTGATATGTCTAATAACTACATTTTGAAAAACTAAAGTATAATTGGTACCTCAAAAAAATTAGATATCAAAATGAAAAATTTCTACTACCATTTTACCCTCTGCCTAATTGCTTTCTTTACTATTATGAGGATGTTAACCTATGCAATGGTAACCTTTCAAATAATAATAAAAATTATATCAAGGGCTATGATATTGACAGTTTATACTCACCTTCATTGCAATTGCTAATGTCTAGAACACCATAATATGTACAATTGTGTGAGATAACTTTTTCTCTGCAGAAACAACCATTATCTGGATTTTGAACTGGAGATGCAAAGGACTTGGGAGGAAGAACATATCTGAACACAGTGATTCCTTTCAGATTAACTTCACTTCCAAACACAATACTGATTGACCTAAACACAGATTAAAAAAAAAGCTTCATTCCAGGAACCTGAACTATGCTTTGGAGATGATTACCCCCACTTATTTTCAGATTTATATTCTTGCCATAACTTGGAAAAAATAGACATGACTTTTCCTAGGTGCCAAGTTTTTGGCTTTGTTTTAGGAACACACCCGGTGGTGCACAGGGATTACTCCTGGCTCTGTGCTTTGAGAACACCTCTAAGGGTTCAGGAGAACACTTGGGGTGCCAGAAATCAAAACCAGTAAACTACGTGCAAGGCAAATGCCCTATCCCTCTTATCCCTTAGGTGCCAAGTCTTGAATTTAGGGCTTCACATCTGTAAGAAAAGATCTCGATTGCTCTATCACGAAACTAGATTATAAAATCAGATTATGCTGATCCCGAAACAGGATACCTTTATTAGAATTTTAAGTTATTGTTTGAGTCTTAGGAAAAATAAAAGAAATTTTGTGACAATTTAAGCGATTACAAAATTCAAAATGTAAAGACAAATTATGCTACATTCAATGCTACTTTCATGCACAACCATTTCACAAAACAATCTTTGCTTGTAAATTACCATAGATTGTTTATACTTCAGACATTTGTCAGCTCATTTTTTTTCTTATAAAGTAAATATTTAAATCTCCCAACTATTTTGTCTGTTCTCAATTTAAATAAAAATACAGGTTCATCTCACGGCGAATCAATTAAAAGAAGAAAAAAAAGAGCTCTTCAAAAAAAAAAAACACAGAAAGTTCAAAAACATTCTGGAAACTAAATAACATGCCTGCATAATTTTCTTTGTCCACCATAGCATAAACGATGTGCAGGGGTTCAATAGATACTTCTTTTAATTTCCAAATAACTCTATATAAAGAAACACCACCGCTTTTCAACATTCATATTAGATGACCAAGAAATATTAAATACTTTGCTGAACAAGTCTTTCAGAAGGGAACTAAGAGTCAGGTGTACTACCATGACTTCAATGTGTGTGTCACCCATTAACTATAAAAGATCACTCTGGCAGCAGAGCATATTCATTTAAAAAGTTCTGTGACAGCTGCATCTTCTCCACTAAACACTGTTAAAATTGGTGGAAGCATTCTAGTGGTAACTGTTATTAAATATCAATAACAGTTAAGAACAGTTAAGTCAAAGAGGAAACAGTTAAGTCAAAATAAAGGAAATGTTCTTGTTTAGAAATCACAAAGGATAACTTTACATCATTTAAAATATCTCTCACACCCTTTAAAGTTGTAAACATTAGAAATCTGTATTATGTATATTTCGTATAGTAAATAAAAAGAAGCTTATTTTCTTTTTTTCTGAAATGACACTATTAGCCTTCTTTCCCATTGAAGGATCCCTTCTTCTTTCTTGAAAATGTATTCAAAATAAATTTATTTTGTTAAAAATCATTTGTTTCAAAAATAAAATGAAATAACATGATTATGAAGAATGAACAACTTAATATGAATTTTACAATTTTGAAAAATAAACTTTTTACATAAAGACATAATTGTCTTGTCTTACCTGCAAATGTCAGGGGCGAAAATTTGCAATACCCGTTTCTTGTCAATAAAGGGTGCAAATGAGGCTCCTTCTGTTTAGAAATAATGAAAGTGGCACGAGGTAAAAAGTATATCATAGAAAAATCATAGAAAAAAATAGAAATTTCTAATTCTAGCATGGTAAATTAAGATAGAAAACAAACAACAAATAACTTTACAATTCTTAGCAGTCATATAGATAGATGATAAACAGATAGATATAGATATAGATATAGATTTGATATGGGTTTGTGCAACACCTGGTAGTTCTCAGGGATTCTCTTGGCTTTATGTTGGGAGATCACCAGTGGCCGCGTTTGAGAGGTCATGTGGTGGTAGAAATCAAGTGAAATCAAGGCCGAGAGATAATACGGGCATAGTTTTGCCTTGCATAGATCAACCTATTTTGAACCACTACATATGGTCTTCTGAGGAGAGTCAGGAGGAAGCCCTGAACTTAGTGGGGTATGACCCCAAACCTCAAAATAATACAAAACAAACTGTTTGCAAAATGGGTGCCTTACCCCATATCCAATATCTCCAGTCCAGCAATGATATTTTTAAAAAGATGTTTAATGGATGTTTAATATTTCAAAATATTTGAACATATAAACAATATAAAACTGATGTTATATTTTAGTTTGTACTGACTACACTTTAAGCACTTCAAAGTGACATATGGCTTATAGCTACTACATTAAACAAATCTGCATGCTATCTACATTCATTGGCATTCATGTTAAATCTCCCCACTCATCAAGAATAAATTAAAATTTAAAAAGATGGAAAAATATACAGTAAAATAACCTTTTTAAAATTACATTTATGACTTTCAAAAAAGGAGTCCTCACTCCATCAAGAGAAAAACACTTATTATCATCAATTTTATTTTTATCTTTTAGATTGAAGTTGTTACTCCTGACGGTGACTCATTTTTCCTAATATCTGGTGGGTTAAAACAATTTATTAAAATTTGGTAAACAAAAAACATATTACAATCTTTTCTGTTTCCCTGGGTGCATAACCAAGAATCTCGCTCAACAGAATCACACCAGAATCCCTTTTTCTATCCAGTCTACCTCTGCTCTTAGTTTATTTTCCTCTTCGGTATTTTAAATTTTGTACCTGGTGCTCATGTATTTGCATTTATGTTGTCAAATAAACCTATGCCTTCTCTTGTCATACTTCTCTACTTCTTAGTTTTAGAGATAATATTTTTTTTCACTTAACCCCCCTCAAAAATCAGTCATCATTTAGAAGCATCAGTATATATTTCTCTTTGTTAAGGACTGACGTATTACTCACACAATTATGAGAGTTAGTAATACTGGGACATCTGACAATTTATTTGCTGAAATGCTTTACTTAGAAAGGAATTTCTTTACCTAACCCATGATTCAAAGTCCTCCAAAGTAAACTCAAGAGTGTTTTTGCTGGTTTCTGTACAAATCTAAGATAACAATATTAAATAAACAATCAAAACTCAACAACACCTTTGGAAAAATAAACACTCCATGTTTCCCCCTTTATTGCTTATCTTTTTGCATAACATTGCATTTAAACTTTCCTCATCTTTATTATGTCATTTTCCTGCAGGGTATTGTCTCACCATCTGTAAGCACTGTTTTTCCACCTCTCTGTGACTCTTAGCAGTTAAAAACCCATCTGTAAGTATCTCGGTATTCAATTACCATTGCTTTTAAGAACATTAAATCTTATACTAACAATAAGCATACATGTACTTCACTTTCTTTAAGAATAATGAGACAGACTTAATCATACTCAAAATCTAAGCACATAGTACTTTTATTCCCACGATTAATAATATTTATTTTTGCATATTTCAAAAAATTATCAAAATATATTTAATGTAGAAGGTTTTTGTGGTAAATAATAATGTTATTTACTTTCTTATTCTGATCATCCTACCATAACATACTTTGCAAATTCATGGATTCTACTTCATCTTGAACAATCACATGGCAATTTGTTTCACATCTTACAATTAACTGTTTTTTTTTTAAGAAATTCTTTTGATTTTAGGGGCCAGAGCGATAGTACAGCGGGTAGGGCATTTGCCTTGCACGCGGCCGACCCGGGTTCGATATCTGACATTCCATATGGTCCCCCAAGCACCATCAGGAGTAATTCCTGAGTGCAGAGCCACGAGTGACCCCTGAGCATCACTTAGTGTGACCCAAAAGGCAAAAAAAAGAAAAGAAAAGAAAAGAAAAGAAATTCTTTTGATTTTAAATTATCTTTACAGTAGCATTTTCTGTTTGTTTTTGTTTGGGGGCTAGCACTGCTCAAGTACTGCTCTTGGCTCAGTCCCAGTAGTTGGCCCCAAAAGTTCTGGGTAACCATATTTTGCTAGGGAACAAACTCAGGCCTCTTAGATTCAAAGGATGTACTTAGCTGTTGAGTTATCTCTCCAGCCACATCCCATACTTTGTTTTATTTTATTTTGTGTTTTGGGGCACCCCAGGCAATGCTGGGGCTATTTCAAGATAAGTGCTCAGGAGTAACCTGTGAAAGTGCTCAGAGCCACATATTTGGTGCCTGAGGTTAGAAGTATGGTTAGCAGGATTCAAGGCAAGCAACTTAAATTCTGTACTATCTTTCTGTTCCCACTCCTCAAAAGATATGACTAGTAATTATTTCTTTACATTTTTTAATTCTTTCGGCTATGGTAAGCACTGTAACACTGTAGCACTGTTCTCTGTTGTTCATCAATTTGCTCCAGCAGGCCCAGTAACATTGTTAGACTTGTTGTTACTGTGTTTGGCATATCGAATACATCACAGGTAGCTTGCCAGGATTTGCCAAGCTGGCAAGATACTCTCGGTAGCTTGCCGGGCTCTCTGAGAGGGGTGGAGGAATCAAACCTGGGTAGGCCGCGTGCAAGGCAAATACCCTACCCACTGTGATATTGCTCCAGCCCTCGATGGCAAGAAGGGCAGTTAATTAAGATTTACAAAGCAAATATTTCCCTAGTAATACAGTAAAAGCTAATCTTTTGATAGGCAATCTTCAGAAATTCCATCACATTAAGCAATTGTTTAAGTCTATGTGAGTATAGAGGTTCTGCATTATGATGTTGATATAAAGATTGGTAAACGTACACTCTTTATTATCAGAACATTACATGTATGACAATGGATTTGCGGTGGATGGGGGGGACAGTACAAAGTGATTATCACTATGAAAGAGATGTTTGCTCTTACCTGTACCATTAATCATGCCACAATAACTTTCCCAAAAGGGGAGAGTCCTTGGTAACAAAAAAGAAGAAAAAACCAAATGAATAAACATTTTTATTAAAGAGCACCATTTCTCATTACTTTGATAATACGAATGTTAAAATTAGAAAGGTTAGATGGGACAAATTGTAAATTGAAGAAATGGTCTATTTCATTAATTCAGAATTTTATTTGAGCTTTCTTCTTGTTGAGATCATTTAAGTTCCTGGTATTATTTAAAATAAAAATTGCAGAGTGTTGTTAATGACTTAGAACAGACATTGTTCTGAACAAAAGACAATTGAGAAATATTTATTGGAAATATATACCTCTAGTGAGGGTAGAATTATTTTTTCCAGTGGAAGAAATTTTATGGTGAGTATTCAGACTTAGTGAGATTAAATGGGTAAAATATATAAGTTTACCTGAAGGGAGTGTGGGGAATAAAAGAAAGATCACCAGATGTCTGATCAATAGAGACAGTGAATTTATAGATAATGAATATTTTCTTACACACCAACTTTTGCAAAAATTGAATTAAAGGATAAAAGACCTTATTAACTTATACTCTCATATTGAAATAAAAATATTTTAGAGCAGTACAAATTATACTAGTTGTTTCTCTATGTATCATTACTTTTTGGTGAAAACTCTTCCCATATCTGACATGTCATCTAGTGAAATGTCAGTGTGAACTGTTCTCTTTTTTAAATGCAATATGTTATTTAAAATGTTTGATCTTGAAATAATTAACTCAAATAAACTTGTTATCATCTTAAACTGATGTGAAATTCTTAGCCAATTAGAGGTACTTAGCATCTCTCCTAGAAACTTCTCTATAATGGAAAAATTGTTGATGTGCCTCAATACACAATTAGGTGATTTCCCATGAGGTGGACAGTTGAAGTGTTTGCTTTCTCCATTAGAGTTCTCTATAAAAAATCATGAGTATGAACTCTATAGAAGATTAAGTACTACACTAGCGAATATTTAACTCTTGTGTGCAGTTTTTAGATATGGACTCTGTGAGATCAGTAGTTTTTAAGAGCTACTTTAGAGCATTTAATCTCTTTCACCTTTGATCACTTCATTTTTTTTCAGGAAATAATTACTTTAACAAGTATTTATTAGCTTTGAAAATAAAAAGGTTCTTTTCTCAGGTATTTATCGACTTCCTCCCCCATTTTTATAGATGGCAAACTATGTATACTACAGATGAATAAGTAGAAGCCAATACAAGAAAGTAAACTATAACTCTTTGGAAATTGACTCATCTACTACCATTTCAAATGAGAGATTCTATTTTCAAATATAATTGGTAAGCTTCAGATCTATAAGTGAAATACTGCACTGTAGAACTGTTTTACCGTTGTTCATTGATTTTCTTGAGCAGGCACCAGTAACGTCTTCATTGTGAGACTTGTTACTGTTTTTGGTATATCAAATAAACCAGGAGTAGCTTGCCAGACTTTGCTGTGCAAGCAGAATACTCTCGGTAGCTTGCCAGGCTCTCCGAGGGGGGTGGAGGAATCGAACCCAGGTTGGCCGCTTGAAATGTTAATTCATCTTAACTTGATAAAGACTTAAACATACAATTTTTAATATAATATTATGTTATTTTGTTTTGTTTTATTTTATTTTTGTTTGGGGGGACACACCTGTATGTACTCAGTGATAACTTCTGATGGGCTCAGGGAACGATTTGATCCCTGAGATTGAACAGGAAGGTGAAGTTCTAGACAAACACTATGACAGCTGTACTATCTCTCTGACCCATCAAAACATAACTGCACTGTAGCACTGCACTGTCCTCCCGTTGTTCATCTATTTGCTCGAGCAGGCACCAGTAACATATCACAACAAATTGTGAGACTTGTTGTTACTGTTTTTGGCATATCAAATACATCACGGGGAGCTTGCCAGGCTTTGCCGTGTAGGTGAGATACTTTCGGTAGCTTTCCGGGCTCTCTGAGAGGGGCGGAGGAAATGAACCCGGTGGGCCATGTCGGCCTCATGCAAGGCAAACACCTTATCCACTGTGCTATCGCTCCAGTCCAAAATATAACATTATTTTAATGTAGTATTTTTATAAAGAGAATCATGAAGTGTTTGCATAGATTTATTAAAATTCTTTCTTTCTAAGTACTTAGCCAGCTCAGTTGGTAGGGTATGAGACACTTAAAAATTTAATCCTTATAGACACATAAGACATACCAATAGAGCAATAAGCCTTTTTCTATAATTACATAGGATCAAATTTAAAAACAAAACAGAATTAAATATCTATAGACTATCAGTTTTGTTATTAGCTTTATTCCTTTTTATCTGTGTTTATCTAATTGTATAGAAAGACATAAATGCTTGTTATGCAGCAAAAAGGAAAATAGCCTCTTTGTCTTTACTTTATATTTAAGAGTCAGCACATAAATGTCAATCAAATCCCAACTGGGAAAAATACTCAACAACTGTACATTTTTATAAAGAAAGTGGACTGGAAAAGTAGTATAGTAGGTAGGCACTTGCATTGCACACAGCAAATCTGAATTCAGTTCCTGATACCCAATATAGTCCCCCAACCTGTGGACTGCAGGAATAATTCCTGAGTGCAGAGCCAGGAGTAAACCGGGAGAATCACTAGGTGTGACCCAAAAGCCACAAAAGGATGAGGAGGAGGAGGAGGAAGAGGAGGAGGAGGAGGAGGAAGAGGAGGAGGAGGAGGAGGAGGAGGAGGAGGAGGAGGAGGAGGAGGAGGGGAGGGAGCAGGAGGGGAGCAGGAGGGGGAGGAGGAGGGAGAGGAAAAGGAAGAGGAAGAAGAGAAGGAGAAGGAGGAAGAGGAGGAAAAGAAGAAGTAGAAGAAGGAGGAGGAGGAAGGGGAGGTGGATGATGAGGAACAGGAGGAGAAGGAAGAAGGAAGAAGGAAAAGGGAAGAAGGAAGAAGGAAGGAGGAGAAGGAGAAGGAGAAGGAGGAGAAGGAGAAGGAGAAGGAGAAGGAGAAGAAATAATAATAATAATAATAATAATAATAATAATAATAATAATAAAGCGTTAACACCTGGCAGAGTAGGTATATTCAGCGTTGAGTCGATTATTTAGTTGTGCTGTCTAATAAATGCCTCCCCTGCCTTAGAGAAGCCAACTATCACATGATCTGGATACTTACTTTTGGCCTTTATATGTGTCAATTATAGCAACTTTGCTAACATTGCCTCTTCCAGTGAAAACTCTGTAAACTCCATCAGCTGTATTGTTGTACTGAAAAAAAAATGCACACACAAAATTACTTCTCAAAATAAAATATAAAATTAACTTATCTTTTCATCTTTCACATATTACTATTTTAAATGATTTGAACCATGATAAAGTTTCAAATTACTGGTATTTTTAAAGAATTCTAGCCAGGGGATCTAGAAATATATGTTAGATTCAAACAAACAAAAAAGATCACAAATAGTAAATATTAAAATGGTTCAAACTGGTATTTTTTTTTGTTTCTGTTAAGCCAAAATTGGGCAATTTGGTCATTAATCCTGTTATATTCAGGTGAGCAGATTTTTGATAAAACAAGAGAAATAAGATTTTTCTAGAGGCATTCTAAATGTTAGCATCATTAATAAGTGGTTACTAAAAATTAGATCAGCAAAATTTTATATTAATATTTGTCATGATTTCAAAAAATAAATATTATCTAAAAATAATAAACTAAGGGTCTAACTAAAATTTCATATAAAAATTCCAATTCAGTAGTCAACTTCTAAGCCCTAAGTCCACATTTCTTAACCAAACTACCACTTAAGTAAATTTGGGAATTACTAAAACTTTTAGTTTCTGATAAGCTACAATTTTTATATATAAATATTTTTATCTATTAAAGTAGAATGCTATTTTTTGTTGTTTTCTTTTCTTTTGTGGGGGGAGGAAGTGGTTTGGGCCATACACAGAGATGCTCAGGTCTTACTCCTGGTGGACTCAAGGAACTATATGAGATGTTGGGGATAGAACCTGGGTCAGTCACATGCAAGGCAAATTCCTTACCAGCTCTACTCTCCTTTGACCCTGACATTGTTGACTTTCAATCTAGTTCTGACAAATTTGCCTAGAAATTTTGATTTAAATTAAGACAAAATTTTTTAAAATATCGAGAGAAGGAGGAATAATCAGGTGAATATAATTCACACTTTTTTTTAAATGTAGTTTAACTTTTGGGGAAGAGAAATCAACACTGAAATATTACTTGCGTACTTACAGGTCTCACAAGCTAATTTCAGATAAACTGTATAGTTAACAGTGTAAAAACCTGACTAAAACTGTTTCTTAATTTTAGCTGTTAGATTCAGGTAGATATATTCAATGATAAACTATTAAATATATAATTACATATCAGAAATAGGATTAAATATACAAATTAAAAATTATGAAAAAACACTAGTATTATACTTATTTTACCAATAGCAAAATCACCATCTTATTCAGTACTCACAGGATAAAACAAACCAATTGTGCTATCAATGGGGTATGGAACCAAACTGAGGAATGGATCCTTATAACCCCACAAAAACTCTTTCACAGTTCTCTTTTGAAACATAGAAGATTTTGACTTTTTGATAAGTGAATTGAGTACCGATTGAACAAATGCACTTGGATAAAGTTGAGGTGCAGCCTAGAAAAATAAAGAAAAAAAGTGAGAAAGCATACACTGTTCAAGAATGTTTAGAACAGCTAAAGTTTCAGGTTTTTTGTAAATAATGGACTAAATAATAAAGTAAACTAAGTAAAGTAAGTAAAGGCCCTCCCGTTGATCATCGATTTGCTCGAGCGGGCCCAGTAATGTCTCCATTGGAGATTTTGTTATTACTGTGTTTGGCATATCGAATACGTCACGGGGAGCTTGCCAGGCTCTGCCGAGTGGGCGAGATACTCTCGGTAGCTTGCCGGGCTCTCCGAGAGGGGCGGAGGAATCGAACTTGGGTCGACCATGTTGGCTGCGTGCAAGGCAAACGCCCTACTGCTGTGCTATCGCTCGCACAGCAGGTAGGGCGTTCGTCTTACAAGCGGCCAACATGGCCGACCCGAGTTCGGTTCCTCCGCCCCTCTCGGAGAGCCCGGCAAGCTACCGAGAGTATTCGATATGCCAAACACAGTAACAACAAAGTCTCCAATGGAGACGTTACTGGGCCCGCTCGAGCAAATCGACGATCAAAGGGAGGGCCTTTTAAATAATAAAATTATATTTAATTAAAAATTAAAGTGTATCTTGAGAATTTGAAACCAAACCATGCCAGGAATTAATGTGTAATTGTCGCAAGAAAAAGACAGTTCGAGATTTCTCCCATTTTATATGTTGTGTTTTGTGAACTATGTTTCCTAATTTCTTATTAACAATAAGAAATAAGTATGCTTGTGATATTTAAAGATGATTAGACCAATTCATTTTCCCAATGCTTCCATATATTAAGTTTTATGGTAAGTGGAGTGATAGCACAGTGGGTAGGGCGTTTGCCTTACACGTAGCCGACCTGGGTTTGATTCCTCCACCCCTCTTAGAGAGCCTGGCAAGCTACTGAGAGTATCCCGCCTGCACAGCAAAGCCTGACAAGCTAAGAGCAAATCGATGAATAACGGGAGGACAATGCTACAGTGCTAGTTTTAAGATCCTGGTTATGACTTCCCCAGTTACAAAGTACTGACTGTATTTTAAGTATGTGAAAAGAGGTGTTTACTATGGAGGCAAATATTTTGCAAATACAATAACTTCAATGAGACCAAAGTGCCACTTGGTAGGCCTCTCCTGGTGATTCTCAGCAGAGCAGGTCAGCAGTTCATTTTGAGGACCCCGAAATGTGGTGCTGTTTGGGTTCTGTGCTGCTGGGATAAACCTGGTCAGCCTGGTGGGGCTCGGGGTCCTCAGGCCCTTATCCACCTGTGCTCAAGGAACCACATGGTAACAGAGATTGAGCTAGAGCCCATCACACACTGATCACTCCTATTTTTTTTTAAAAAATAATGTGTTTTAAGCACTGTACTAACTCTATCCTTATATAATTTTATCATCTTTCCAAATGATTCTAACCTCTTTCAAAAGAAAAACCTAGGAATAGTTTTTATTAAAATTAGAAAATTAAAAAAAGTATATCAACAGGTAGTTATCACTCATGAACTTAACTATTGTGGATGCTAAAATATTCCAAAATAAATTTTGTAGTTAATTTACTCACCACAACTGCCAGATTGAGAACGGTTAAAGTATCATTCTCTGTTCCAGCTGAGAGCGATGGTTCAAAGATGGCACCATTAGGCACTACAAAGGAGACTGTGTTGTTCTCAGTGTCATGGGTTATATTTTCCTTGGCTAAATAGCGAACTCTGAAAAACAGAAGGAAATAAAATCCTAAATAAATGTCTCACCTGAATGTTAGGCCTCAAATGCTATTCATTACATAATTTCTTTGAAGTAGAATATAGAATATGCTAGGAATTTTGCAAATAAAGCACTGTAGTGCAACTCCCATTGTTCATCAATTTGCTTCAGCAGCACCAGTAACATCTCCATTGTGATACTAGTTGTTACTATTTTTGGCAATAGAATATGCCACGGGGAGCTTGCCATGCTCTGCCATGTGGGTGGGATACTCTCAGTAGCTTGCAGGGCTCTCCACGAGGGACTGAGGAATCGGACCTGGGTCAGCCTCTGCAAGGCGAATGCCCTACCCGATGTGCTATTTATTATTATTATTATCTGCAAATAAAATGTAGCTAAATTATAAACTCTAGGTTTATCTGGATAAAAAATGCTAGATTCTAGCAAATTAGTTAAAGAACCTTTATTTTTCAAAGAAGAAATTAAAATAAAAGGAAGGCTGTGAGATAATTTGATATGAGAGTTTAAAAAGTCCATGTGATGACAGAGACTAGATAAAAATTCCTGCATGGACATTCATGGTGAGAGTGAGACTTAAGATTCTTTTGATAGTAACTCCATATAGATAGAATGAAGGGAAAATAATGTTTAATTAGTGACATAGAAAACAGTGCATACGTGAAGGAAGACTAAGATGTAATTCCAAAAAAAACTCATGACCTGACCTGGAAGAGAGCCCAGAGAATTGAGTGCACATTTGGAAAATAAGAGGGCGAGCTTTGATTCCTGGCACATTTTAGGGCCAGATTTGATTACTGGAACTGTTTGGTTCCTCTAAGCCTGATAGGAATGACCTCCAGACCCTGTCCTGGTGTGATCCCCAAATGAGCAAAAATTTATATTATTGAATTTTGTTGCATTATGAGTAAGAAGAGGAGAATGGTAGTGAGTAAAGTCACTGAAGTAAGGTCTGAAGTAGAAAAGATCCTATACTCAAATGATGGGCTGGAGTGATAGCGCAGCAGGTAGGGCATTTGCTTTGCATGCGGTCCACCTGTGTTCAATTCCTCCATCCCTCTTAGAGTATCTCACCTGCACAGCAGAGCCTGCCAAGCTCCCCCTGGCATATCCAATATGCCAAAATCAGTAACAACAAGCCTCACAATTGTAAGACTTGTGCCTGCTCGAGAAAATCGATAAACAACGGGAGGACAATGCTACAGTGCTATTCAAATGATGGATCTTTGATTTGTGGAGAAAGGAGAGGGAGAAAGGTTTAAAGCAGTAGATATCAAAAACACATATTCAAATATTAGAAAAGATGTAGTGTGCAGTATATCTATTGCTGACTTTTCCATGTGTCCTTTTTTTCCTCTTCTTATTTTAAAATTTTATTATGTATGATATTTGGTCATACACGGCCATTGCCTTGAATTTTTTCCTGGGTCTGTGCTCAGGGATCATTCCTTGTGGAGTTTAGGGAACTTTGGAGGTGCCAGGGATGGAACCCAGTTCAGCCATGTGAAACGCAAGTGCCCTGCCCATTCTACTATCGCTCCCACCCCAAACTTTTCCATAACATTTAATATAATATTTAGCAAATATAGATATAATAATCATGTGTAAGACCCAAAGACCAAATTTTCTCTCCAATATCTCCATGTATTGAATACTTAATTATTATAAGCTCCTCATTCTAATGTCCCTACGTTGAAAAATACCAATTGCTTTAAAGATGTGCAGAAAGTGGTGATTATTATAGAGAAAAATATTGAGTTTTTTAAACTCAGTGATTAAAAAAGTAAATTATTCATTGCACTATTATGCATCTAATAATCTATTGTAGCAAAAGCATAGAGAAGTCTAAAACACATCAGACCAAAAATGTAAAAAAAAAAATTACATATTTTATATGCCAGACACAGTAACAAGTGTCAAAATGGAGACATTACTAGGCCCGCTCAAGCAAATCGATGAACAAAAGGAGGACAGTGATGGTGAAAGTGACATATCTAAGTTATAATAAAAATGTAAATACCAGATTATGTCTTGATCATGGGTATTGCCTAATAAATATGTTTGAATGAATCAGTTAGTGAATGACTGATATTCTTTAAAAATATTAAAATAATATAAAATGATATTTTATTTTTAGGTAAATTTTATAAAAGTTTTGCTATTGATACACTTGTAGTAATTGTTGACATATATAAGATCCAAAATAGTACTCAAAATCTATTAGTAATAAATTACTATTCTCTTTTAGAGAGCTACATTTTTAAATCAGAGTATAAATAATAAGTTAAAATTAAAGTGTCTAAAGTTTTAGGAACTTTTATTCATATATTAGTAGAAATAATAACAAAATTTATGTTACCCAGTTTATTTAAATAATGATTTCAATATTATACCAGTAGATGGCACTCACTAAGAGGAAAATTCTCAAAACTGAATCCTGTGTTTAGAATATATTTGTAAAGTAGAACACAGTCACTTGATTTCTTCTTTGGAAATAAGAGCTATTTTCAGACTTTGAAAGTGTAGGTTAATAAGATCAAAGAAAAGACTTTTTTCACTAAATCTTCCTCCAAAATTTCTTTCTCTATGCTTTTGCTAAAACAAAGTAAACAACAAAAAAAAGGAATTTATGTTGGACCTGAAAATATGCTGATGAACTCTTCAAAGAGGGTAGAATAAAATTTACAAAATTAACACTTTGACCCTTCTCATATATTGTCAATCAAAGTCTCAATGAAAATACTTTAGTAACTAAATGTGATTCTGTTTGAAAAGAGAAATGAGCATGCATATACAATTTCAACTGAATTCAATTATAATTAATGCAGATGTGAGTTTACCTCAGCATATAAAAAATTCCAGAACTGCTAACTTTTTCTAAAAGGTAATCAAGTGTCTCCATTATATAAAGTGGCTAATAAATTTATTTTAGAAATAATATAAGATAACCTCAATCTGGACAGGAACCCTCTTAATATTGTTATGTAAATAGAAAGTTATTGATTATAAATATAAGCTTCAAATCCAGTGTTCAACTTCCCTCCAATACCTAGCCACATAAATTTGTCTATAGCTGATTCCTTCCTGCGTCTCTTAGGTAGCTTATTACTTCCAAAATAAAATACATTTACATTACATGGTATCTATCAGAAAAAGATGAGATTCAATATTACATATATGGTTTTGCATATTCCAAGAAATATTCTTCAAATGTCTTTTAAGCCACCTTACTAAAAACAAAAATAGCAAAAAAAAAACCCAAAATATGATGAATTTCTATTCTCTTTCCTCAGACTTGGGTGATGAATTTATAATTATTTTGCTAACATTTTCATTTGGTCTCGGGTAAAATTTAGTTTTACTTTTTTTTTGTCTCTTTACGCCTCACCCAGCAAACACAGGGGTTGCTCTTTATTCATGAAACCAGTCAGACTACATCCTCTCCCTCCCATTCTTCCAAAGATAGCGAAAAATAATCATCAATCGTAAAAGGCATATGGAGAGTATGATGAGTAAAATGAGTCAGAAGGAGAGGGACAGGTATAGAAATTGCATTCATCTGTGGTATGTAAACAGAAAATAGTATGAGACTAAAATCCAAGGTCAAGGAAAACTGGGGCTACGAGGACTGATCAATGGCTGGAATCTACCACAAATGTGGTGGTGAGGCAGAGGCTAGGTAAGACAGAGAAGGGACCAGTATGACAATAATAGTTGGAAATGATCACACTGGATAAGAATTGTGTGTTGATGGGACAAATAGATTGCTCCATAGCTGGAAGCCTGCCTCATGAGCAAAGGGGAGAAGACAGCTGGAATAGAGAAGGGATCACTAAGAAAAAGATGGCTGGAGGAATTGGTCGGGATGGGAGATGTGTGCAGAAAGTATATAAAGGACTAAACATAATAACCTCTCAGGGTCTGTATTGCAAACCATAATGCCCCAAAATAGAGAGAGATTATGGGGAATCATGTCTGCCATGGAGGCAGGGGGAGAGTGGGAAAGGGGGGTTATACTGGGGATATTGGTGGTGGGGAATGTGTATTGGTGGAGGGATGGGTGTTTGATCATTGTGTGATTGTAACCCAAATATGAAAGCTTATAACTATCTCATGGTGATTCAATAAAATTTAAAAAAAAAGAATTGTGTGTTGAAAGTAAGTAAGGGAATATACACGATAAGCTTTCAGTATCTGTATTGCAAACCCTAATGCACAAAATGAAAGAGAGTGAAAAAGGAAGGGAGAGGAGAGAAGAGGGAGAGAGAGACAGACAGACAGACAGAGAAAAGTGCCTACCATAGAGGCCAACTGAGCAGGAAGGGTGTTTGTGAGAGGAAAATGGGGGACATTGGTGCTGGGAAATGTACACTGGTGGAAGAATAGGTGTTGGAACACTGCATGACTGAAACCCAATAATGAATAGCATTGTAATGCAAGACTGTCTCATGGTTCCACAATTTAAAAATTTAAAAAAATTAATTTAAGGCAGCTGCAAAAGCAACTCCTAGAACTGGCTGCATGCTCAGGAAAGGATGGTCTGGCTCCTTCCCATGGTTTCAGGTGCTCAGAGGTTACAGGTGCTCAGAGGTTCTCCAGAATCACTTCTGATAGTGCTAAGGGGACCAAATAGGCTACCTGTGATGATGTAACTGGTATTGTGGAAAGCAAGCACCCTACCCACTGTAATGTGGTTCTGGCCATGTACATTTTCTTAACTACAACATTTGGGAACAAGAGATTCAGCTAGCCTGTTGTTGTTTTTAGTAACATATGAACTATAGAATATGAAAATATATATGATTTTAAAAAGTAAAATTTTCTCAGTAACAACTAAAATCAAATCTTTCAGTTGCAAACATGTGATGAAGACAGAAGACAAAAAAAAAAAAACTACTAATAAAGTTAGGCATTGACACCCTCTGCATCTATACTTGTTATATTATGGCCCCAGACTACTGTCACAACTACCTTGTTTCATAGCTAAAGAATGAGTTATAAATCTAGAAGCATTAAAATTTATGAGCAGCAAGTTTTATAATTATAGACATTTACTATCACTGTCACTGTCCTCCCATTGTTCATCTATTTGCTAGAGCTGGCCCAGTAAAATTGTGAGACTTTTTGTTACTGTGTTTGGCATATCAAATACGTCACGGGTAGCTTGCCAGGCTTTGCTGTGCGGGCGAGATGATCTAGGTAGCTTGCTAGGCTTTCCAGAGGGGCAGAGGAATCAAACTCGGGTCGACCTGCAAGGCAAACACCCTACCTGCTGTGCTAAAATTTTAAATCTATAAATGATAATAATTTCCAACTATTGTAATTTATAGCTTTAATTTTTTATCTGTTCTAGAGTGTCTATAACTATATAACATTCTTTCCTCACCATGAATTAATGCTTCTCTGGATAAGAACTGCATGCTGGAATTAGGTAAAGGAACAAATATCATTACCTATCAGTATCTGCATTGCGAACCATGGTGCATAAAAGGAGGGTCAGAGACAAAGAGAGTGAGGGAGAGAGGGAGGGAGAGAGAGAGAGGAGAAAAAAAGAGAAAGAGAGGAAAGAGCGATGAAGAAAAAGAAATGTGCCTGCTATAGAGGCAGGCTGGTGGTGGGGGTGAGGTGGGGTGGCAAGAGGGAAAGGGGTCACTGGTGGGGAGAATGTACACTGGTGGAAGTATTGGTTTTGGAGCACTGTATGAATGAAACATAAACAGCTTTGTAACTGTGCATCTCACGGTGACTAATTTTTTTAAAAAGAGAAATATAAATTTTAAAAATTATATAAATTATGAGACTGCATCACAAGCATGAAATGTTTTGGCAATATTTATCATGGTGTACATTATTTACAATTTTAACAGAGAAAATCAGAACCCAGAACCCCGGCAGACAAAAACCTCCAGAACCCAGCCACATCCATGCTCAAGGCCACTCTCCACATGCTCGGATGAGCCTCACGCATGAAGGAACTGGCAGAGGAACAGGTATGTGGGACCCATGACTGAGATCCCAAGGCTGCTCAGATTGGGACTGGACCTCCTCCACCCAGATGCCCCAGTAGCTTGGCAGTTTCACCCACAAACTGCCCCCGGTGCCATGTAACCTCATCAACAGCCAAAATCCAGAGACTATAAAAATGAAGCATTTGTGGTCATGCAACCTCTTATAGTCTAGTCCACTGATGTACCTAAAGCAGCACACATGTGTTTGGTTTTCGCATACTTGCATCTATTCTCTTATCTATGGGCTTAACCTCCATCCCTCTCAGAGAGCCCAGCAAGCTACCGAGAGTATCCTGCCCACATGGAAAAGCACGGTAAGTTACCCGTGGCGTATGCCAAAAATAGTAACAATAATGGGCCTCATTCCCCTGACCCTGAAAGAACCTCCAGCATTAGGAAGGATGAGTAAGGAGTCTCGGGATTGGGACAAATGGAGACATTACTGGCACATGCTTGAGCAAATTGATGAACAACAGTGATAGGACAACTGAGAAAAAAATCTCTCGCTTGAATAACAGATGATACAGTAGGATTTTATACTCACAGATGGATATGGTAAAATACTTTTAATCTTGGTTATATTTGGTCTTGGTTGAACCTCACTATTCATATATATTTTTACAGTTTTAAACATCATAGAGTTTGTAATCTAATAAATAATAGTGTATTTTAAAAATATAGACATTATTATCACATAGGTACATGTCAATATAAATAAGTTTCACATTAACTGGTATTTTATTTTTAAATAAAAATGGAAAGTTTTGGTTCACCATTTTCTCCTAGTTCTAGTGTATATTTTGAATTCATTCTAAAGCGTGTGAAAACTATGTAGGACAAAATTATAGTGCATCTATTTTTAGTACTAAAAAAAATTTAAGAATAATATTAGCAAATATAAGTAGCTAAATGACACAGAAATTTTTTACATATAAAAATTTTTGTAGGTACTGAAGTTGTATATAATTAATTTAATGTCATGATTCACAAAGTTCAGTGTATATTAAAATCATAGAATCACCCATGCTTAATAAGCTCATCACCCATCTCTGTTTTCTTCCAGAAGCCTGGCAGTCCTGCCCATAAACTGCCTCTGGTACTAAATAAACTCAGTAAGTAGCCATGATTCAGAGACTCATATATAAATCTTGAGAGATATCGACAAAGTTGCAGAGATGCTTCCAGACCCCCTGTCAGGCAGAGTCATCAAGGGCATTCAAAGTCACCATCCAGTTAAAAATGTAACTCCCCCTGTATCACCCATTCAAAATATTTGAATTCCTGGATCACTCAGCCACATATGCAGCCATGAACATCTCAAACTCTACATCACTGTAAACGACATTGGATGGGACATAAAAGACAAACAATCCTGATTAACACACAAGGCTTAACCTGTAAAAACATATTAGTATATCAATATCTTACACAAGGGTTTAAGGAGTCCATCGTGAGATACAATATTTTTCACACATTTTCTTCTAAGAAAACATTTTTCAACATTGTTAGTGAATTATTGATAACAAGGAATATAAAATAAATTATTCAGATCCTGCTTTAGGTGCAGGCTTGATGAATGGTTGAGAAAATTGGAAATAATGGTAGTGGGAAGGTACAATGATGATTGGATTGGTGCTGGAATATTGAATGTAATAAAACATCATAAACAATTTTATTAAAAAATTAAATTAAAAAATAAAATAAATCTCATCACATTGCTGGACTCCAAATAAAGAATTTCTGATTCAGTTGAACTAGAGTGGTTCTGAGAATTTATATTTCTACTAAGGTTCCAAATGATCCTAATGCTACTGTCCTAGGAACCACTCTTTCAGAACCACTGACAGAAATACATATTAAGACCTTGTAATACACATGTAAACTATTCTGGTTTCTGAAATTTTTATTCAGCATTTGCATTTCAGAGTTGATTACAATATGTACTACAAGCATAAAACACCTGAAATTTCTTAAACGTAGGGCAGTTACTTACTGTTACTAAATTTACATTAAGGTCTTTATTTCTTATAATCCTTAACTCCTTATTTTCTCTATAGGCAAAAATAAAAATATTTTTTTCTCTTCCTCTAGAATGCAAAACAAATGCAATGTAGATTAATTAGAAGAAAGTAAACAAGAACATTTCAACTCAAGTGACATTTTCTAAGTAAAATCTTCCCAAAATATTGCAGTTACAGAAAGAGCAATGCTATTTATAGGAACTTACCTGTAAGTGTAAGGACCTCTTTGTTTAACCTTAAGGTTGCTACTATTAACTTCCACATCTTCCGGATTTTGCACATCAAAGAACCAAAACTGCCTGTAAACTGGTATGCCAGCTTTAACCCAATTTTGATAAGCAGCTGAACCTTCTTCAAGGATAACTTCCTGTGAAAAAAGAAGAAAAATGAGTTGTTTCTTTATACTAATTATGGGCATTTATTTATTCTTCAGCACTGTATAGCACTGTACTCCCGTTGTTCGTCTATGTGTTCCAGAGGGCCCAGTAAAGTCTCCATTGTGAGACTTGTTACTGTGTTTGGCGTATTAAATACGCTACAGGTCGCTTGCCAGGCTTTGCCATGCAGGCGAGATACTCTTGGTAGCTTGCCAAGCTCTCCGAGAGGGGAAGAGGAATCGAATTCAGGTCGGCCATGTTGGTTGAGTGCAAGGCAAACGCCCTACCGCTGTGCTATTGCTCCAGCCCATTGCTTCACCTTTTTTAAATATAAAAGTATCAATTTCAAGTTTCTTATTTATGAGAAGTTTTGGAACTTTGACACACACTTGCAATAAATATATAATTGATATATAAATATAAATTAATAAAATAATATGAGATAGTATTTTCTGTCATTGATCTGGAGAATTTTTTTTTTAAATTTAAGAGTTGGTATACAAAGAAGATTAATGAACTGAATTAGTAAATGTATAAGGCAATAGCACTGTCTCCCCATTGTTCATCCATTTGCTCAACTGGACTCCAGTAACAACTCACAACAAACTGTGAGACTTGTTGTTACTGTGTTTGGTACATCAAATATGTCACGAGTGGCTTGCCAGGATTTGCCATGCAGGCAAGATACTCTTGGTAGCTTTCCAGGCTCTCTGAGAGGGGCAGAGGAATCGAACCTGGGTCAACCATGTCAGCCGTGTGCAAGGCAAATGCCTTACCTGCTGTGCTATTGCTCCAGCCCATATAAGGCAATATAACTCATTAATTATTTTTCAGTAAAAATGTGTCTTAGAGAAATGCTATCATAATAATGGATAATACAAAATTAATTTCACTACAATCTTGAATAGTTTTCTTACCAACATAATTTGATGGTAGACAAAGAGAAAGATATTGAGGCAGTCAAAATAGGAGTTTATTTTTCTGACATTAACATTAACATATATTTAAAATTTGTAAACTACCGAGAGTAACCTGCCTGCACAGCAGAGCCTGGCAAGTTCCTCGTGGCATATTCTATTTGCCAAAAACAGAAAGAAGTCTCACAATGGAGACGTTACTGGTGCCTGCTCAAGCAAATTGATGAACAATGGGACGACAATGCTACAGTGCAGTGCTATTTAAAATTTCTATAGATATTCCGTGACTAAAAAGGTTTAAGTACCTTACAAGTTCCTTTAATTTGGGGTGAAGAGGTGGAGCACAACCAGTTTCATGCACAGGCTATTTTTGGCTCTGTGTTCAGGAGTGATCTCTGATAGTATTTAGGAGATCATATATCATAGGAATTCGAACTAGGGTTATGTCCTCTACAGTTGCTGTAACAAGTGTCCTACCTCCTGTATTATCTCTCTGGACAAAGTTTTTCTCATTTTAAAGGGAACAATGATATACTGTTATCATAAATTATTCATAAAATATTTCATAAAATATTCCTATAAATTAAATATCAGATCCAGACAATCTAGCCTCTAATTTTCAAATCTTAAACTACATTTGAAGTAAAGAACAGTTAATTAATTATTAATTTTTGTACAAAAAGAGTAATAAAATGATAAATATCTCAGAAACTGTCCCTGAATTGAAGTATAAAGACTTTGGTTGTAGACCAGGTAATGGCTGTACTCCAACTTGTTGATTCTTAAATGGGATGGCTTTCAGCTAGGTTCAAAGCCATTAATCTAAAAGTTCAATTCTGTGAACTAGATAGCAAACCACTATGGAACTTCAATCCAAGCAGCATTAGATCCACTGCTGGCCCCAAACCAATTCCGTTCCCCCAGAAAAAGTTCACTTCTGTTACAGATGTTTAGACAATTAACATTTTCTGGATAGTCTAATGTTCATGTAAGTTATTGCCACTAAAGGAGAACAATACCTACTCGTCTACATTTTGTTATAATTATCAACATGTCCTTGAGATCTTCCTTTTTACCCTACTTCCACATTGTCTATGTATAGAGCTATTTTACATCAAAAACACAAAGTTAAGTAGTAAATAATGACAGTAAGCACTACAAATTTAATTACAGGTAGCTGTTTGATGTGCTAAGCCACATCAACTTGGCAAGCTATTTAAATTTCTTTGTACCTCAGTTCCCTCATCTGTAAATGAAGATAACTATACTAGATTAAATTATATAAAATCAGTCTTTTTGAAAGTCAAAAAATGTCGAATATAGTTCTAGTATTTATCCTCTTGTTTTGTTACAAAAATTAACAAATTTAGTCACTTAGTATAGTGTTATAAAATATACATTAATAAGTATTTATTATTATTATAAAATATATATGCTGAGGGCTGGAGCAATAGCACAGCTGTAGGGCGTTTGCCTTACAAGCGGCCAACATGGCCGGCCTGAGTTCGATTCCTCCGCCCCTCTCAGAGAGCCCGGCAAGCTACCGAGAGGATCTCGCCTGCCCGGCAGAGCCTGGCAAGCTACCTGTGACGTATTCAATATGCCAAACACAGTAACAACAAGTCTCATGATGGAGACGTTACTGGGCCCACTCGAGCAAATCGATGAACAATGGGAGGACCGTGGACCATGGATATATACTGAGGGCTGGAAAGATAGTGTAGTAGGTAGCACTGTAGCAATGTCCTCCTATTCTTCATCTATTAACTCAAGTAGGCACCAGTAACGTCTCCATTGTGAGATTTGTTGTTACTGTTTTGGGCATGTTGAATACTCCATGGGGAGCTTTCCAGGCTTTGCTGTGCAGGCAGGATACTATTGGTAGCTTGCAGGGCTCTCCGGGAGAGATGGAGGAATTGAATCAGGGTCGGCCAATGCCCTACCCTGCTGAGCTATCACTCCAGCCCAATGGCAATTATTTACATAGTCAATCAGAATTCAGTTCCTGGCATCCCAAGTCTATCAGTATTGATCCTTGTGTTCGTTGCCAGGAGTAATAATCCCTGAGAACCACTGGATATGGTTCTCAAATCAATATATACAAACATATATCTATATATGTTTATATGTAATATGCATCTGTATAAAGTATATAAAGATTTCTTCAGAGAATTTTATTACTCTTTTCTCCTCAGAATGCTTAACTGCTTTATTTATAATATTTGCGTCTTAAAATATTCATGTGACAAGAATTCATTTAATATAGTGTGACCATTGTTACACATTTCATTCATCACCTTTTGGTTGCTATAAGCTCAATCATATTGTACCACCATGATTTTTATTATATAATATGAGATCTGCTAATAGGACTCTTAAGAGCTCCTTGAAAGTAACTCTGTCCCACATATATACTGCTTTTTAATCTTGCTAATTTTTTCTATAGCTTTTATTTATTTGATCTTGCTATTTTTTTCTATAGCTTTTATTTATAAGAATTGAGTAGCACTGTAGCACTGTCCTCCCGTTGTTCATCAATTTGCTCGAGTGGGTCCAGTAACATTTCCACCATGAGAATTATTGTTACTGTGTTTGGCATATCGCTCCAGCCCCAAGAATTGAGTACAAGATGATATCATTTAGTCTTTGCATTTAGATGGCCTGTCACTGTCCTGTCACTGTCCCCCTATTATTCATCGATTTGTTCGAGCAGGCCCAGTAATGTCTCCATTTTGAGACTTGTTACTGTGTTTGGCATACTGAATATGTCACAGGTAGCTTGCCAGGCTTTGCCACGCGGGCAAGATAATCTCAGAAGCTCTCAGGGCTCTCCGAGAGGGGAGGAGGAATTGAACCCGGCTCGGCCGGGCTGGCTGCACGCAAGGCAAATGCCCTACCACTGTGCTATCGCCTCAGCCCTCAGATGGCCTAGTTTTGGAAAATGACCTGAGAGCTATTTGATTTTAAGATATTGTGCTAAGGACCAAAGAGATTGAACAGGCAGATAGGGCACTTCACTTACATGTAATCAACCTTGGATTGATCTCTAGAACCCACTGCATATGGTCCCCTGAGCATAGTCAGGAATGCTCCCTAAACACATAGACAGGAGTAAAGCCTGACCACTACTGGGTATGGCTTGCCAACCCTCCTACAAAGCCCTCCTTAAAAGATATTGTGATACCTGTGATATAAAATACTATTGTGTAATAATCACTGAATTTTAAGCTAACCCATACTTCTGAAGCTTTTAGTGCTATATATTCAATTATATTAATCTTTAAATAAAGTTTTGTTCTGCCTTACATCTACTGGGAAACAAGCCTATCAATATTGTTTATAATATCATCAATTAATTATCACTCTGCCTACTGTTCAAAACTTCTTAAACACCATCTTATTTTTCTTCTCTGAACATCTCTTTGTAAATCCATATTGAGATATTCTCTGTATTCCTTTTTCCCTCTTCAAAACATTTAATTGCAATACCACTACATTTCCATACATCACTCTTCTCACAACTTTATTGCAGTGTTTGAATTTCAAAATTCTAAATTTCAAACAGCAATTCCTGACACACTTTTTTTCTGAAATCTTTGAATACTTTGAGAGATTTATATATCTAAATAACGTTCATTTTCCCATATTATATACTGTAGCATTAGATTCTCTAACAGTTCTCTGCATATTTACTTTTCCCCAAGATAAATCTTTTACTTTAGAGATAAAACTTACTTTCTCTCTCTTAGGGACTGCAAAATAAACAATGTTAAAAATTCTTTATTTTGTTTTATTTTGTGTGTGCATTAGTGTGTAATGTACTTGTGTGTGTGGGGGGGTGTCTGTATTTGGGGGCCACACTCATTGGTAACCAAGGTCTATTTCTTTCTCCATGCCCTATGGTCACGCTGTCATTGCTTGGAAACCATATGTTGAGTCATAGATCAAAATATGATGAGAATCACACAAAGAAAGCACCTTAACTCCTATACTGTCTCTTGGTCCCTATTTCAAAATTCTTATTTTCTCATCATTAACTGTTATTACCTTAAAGACAAAAATTAAAGTAGATGTTAGCAATCTCATACCATCTTATAGACTTTAATACACTAGTTATATTGATAAAATAGGAAAAAAATAAGTATTCAGTTATTGATCATCACTTATACATCAGAAAATATCTTTAAATTTCTGTGAGCTGGATAATTATTGTTACTTTTCTTCTCGGGAAAATTTTCAAAAGATTAAATAATACATTCTGCGTTGGCCAAAATGTTGAGCCTGTATTCCCTCTGAGAGAAATTATTGCATTGAAATGTGCATTAAAATGATTTTATTTCTGTCATAAAACTTGTGAAGTCACATGAGTTTGACATCCCTGGTTTAGAACTTCAGCAAATCTTTTTCTCCTTTTTCTAGCCTTCTGTATTTCTACCAATTAAAGTTGATGAATTTTATTAGAGGAGAACATATTAGGACATTAATTTTAGTTTGTTATACAGGCATGCCTATTCAATGGTCCAAATTTTAATTAAAAGTAGTCAATATGTCAATAAGTCAATATCGCTGGAGCGATAGCACAGCGGGTAGGGCGTTCGCCTTACAATCGGCCAACATGGCCGACCCGAGTTCGATTCCTCCTCCCCTCTCGGAGAGCCCGGCAAGCTACCGAGAGTATTCGATATGCCAGACACAGTAACAACAAAGTCTCCAATGGAGTCGTTACTGGGCCCGCTCAAGCAAAATCGACGATCAACGGGAGGGCCTTTACCTTTACCTTTAATATGTCTATAAACTGATATAAGCATTTATACATGATGTGTCTGAAATAACATTTCTATATTTGTTAATTAAATAAAAGCTTCATAAATTAAAATATTTAAAAGACCATTATATATTATTATATATGTTATGAAAAGCAGCAGTTCACCAAAATTCTAATGATTTCTTTAATAATATTTAAAAATTTAAGTTTATAAATATAAAATATAATTTTACTTTTCTCAATATTAGCCAAAGTTCAATTATTTTCATAATTTTTTCCTTTAAAAATAAAAAATTTTTATATTTAAAAATACATATATTCAACTTATGACATTTCTCTATAATTCAAAGGTTCTTCTGTGTTGAACATATAAAATTTCAAGTATCATGGAATATAAACAAGAAACTTTATTGAAAGCAAAACAGGGCAGAAAGTAGAATAGATCAGCATGACAAGAAATGTCCTTCAGACTACTTATACCTGATTAATTGCCTTCTCAATAAGCATGTCTCCCACTGGCATTAGAATGCCTCCGAACACAGCTAGGACTGCACCAATAACAGCACCGGTGATGAGGCAACAGTTTCTATCACAGCCCATTTTTCCAGTTCAGAATAATATTCAGGTGAAGTTCTAGTTTCTTTTAAACCTTTAGGTCTGATTTCGGTGATTTCCACGAGTTTTGTTCTGTCATTAGGGAAGATCATAAAACAGATTAAATATCAGAACTAAAAGATCAAAATAAAATTAAAACATACAAGTCAGATACATAAATTTTCCAGTTAGATAAACAAATGTTTCAATATTTGTTTTACAAAGCTGACTTTTGAGATCCTCCCTTTACTTGCTTTTAACAACTTATCAGTGAAAGAAATAAAAAAGCTTCAGAACACAGAACATTTGTTCTACCTTCTCTTTTTTTTTCTTCCTATGGGTAATTAATACATAAAAATCTGATGTAAGGAAATGTGCTAATGGATGTACTCTTAACCTTATACACCTTCTATCAGCATGAGACATTTGGCTGCAACTTCATGCTCTGTCTGGTTTCTGCACCCAAACATGCCAGTCCACATCCTTCCTAGTGTTCTGCAAGTGAATCTGGGGTGCTGATTCCTTCTCAGTCAAATGATAGGAAAAAACATAGTAATAAATGTTTTCTTTATCATACCTTATTCACAAATAATCAGCAAGATAGGAACTGCACAGGAAGTGAATTGATGAGTCCCAGAAAGAATCAATTCTTCAAATCATTTGTAAGCTATCTGTTTAAACAAACAAAACCATATAAATATGGTACCCCAAATCCCATCGAGTGATCCCCAAACATAGAGCCAGAAGTAAGCCTTGAGTAGTGCCAGATGTGGACTCACCAAAAATCAAAACCAACCAAACAAACAAAAAAAGATAAACTTTATTATTAATTTATTTTTAAATGCGTGACTTGGAGTAGACTAAATGTAAAAAAATTTGAATAAAATACATAATGTCACTGTCACCCTATTGCTTCCTGCTCCACCCCACCCACACCACACCCCTCTCTCCATACAGCAAAAGGGACCCTTCTGCTGAAGGATAGAGGCTTTGCTTTTGCCTGAAACCTCTGCCTGCCCAACTTTTTGTGCCCTGTCACACTGGCCCCTATCCAGTGCTCCTTTCCTTTGGGCACTTTTGCAACCTCCTGGTGTTGCATCTATTTCAATCAGAATCAGAATAGCATTAGTGACCACATGGCATCCATCAACATTACACATTAAGAACAATCACTACAATCTTGTAGTGAACGCATAGATTCTGAAATAGCCTCACTTCTTATCTGCCCAACAGTCTAGCAAGATCTTTATCCTAACCCCATTTAGTTATTACACACAGAAACTCACAAAGCTTTGGTAATTTGAAGAAATTATAGAACTCAGAAACATGGGCGTGAAGAAAGAGACACTGATAATAAAAGTGACCCTGTAACCCAAACATGAAACTCTAGACAACTATGTGATTTGAATAGTACTGTTCGAAAGGAAGAGAGTAACACTCAACTAAATCCCTCATAGCGCTCTCAGGAAGGGATGGTGGATTATAAGTTTTTATCACCATGTGATGATCAGACACAATGGGGAACAAGTACAGAAGCATATCTGCCTTGGTAACTGAAGTCAACCAGCAGTAAACCAGCTAGATAACTCTTTAGCAAAAGACTTTAGAGATACCATAGTGAGAATGTTTAATTAGCTCAAAGAAACAGTGGCATAAAGACAAGAAAACATAAGAATAGAAGTGAAAAACCTAAATTCAGAAGTCACATAACTAAAGAGTTTGGCAGGTGAAACATAACTCTTTAGCAAAAGACTTTAGAGATACCATAGTGAGAATGTTTAATTAGCTCAAAGAAACAGTGGTATAAGGACAAGAAAACATAAGAATAGAAGTGAAAAACCTAAATTCAGAAGTCACATAATTAAAGAGTTTGGCAGGTGAAATAAACACTCCTTGAAAGGCCTCATCAGTGAAATAAAAGTAGCTGTGAATAAAATCAGTCAACTACAAAACAAGATGCAGGGAATTTCTAGAAATCAATTAAACGTGGGGTAATGATTTTTAAATGAATGAACAAGACACTAGGGAAGTATAGGATGAGTTTACAAGGAGTACTCTATGAATCATTGGAATCCACTATGAATAAGTATGGGAATTTGATGAAGAAATACAAGTCCAAAAAATCATAAATGAGAAGTTCCCAGAGCTAAGAACTGCAAGCACCAGGAGTAAAGAGGTATCCTAACCAAAAGATATCCAAATAAAAATACTCCAAGACATATCAGAATCACAATGATGAAAAAACAAAGATAGAGATAGAATATGAGAACCAGCAAGATCAAAGAAGAAAGTTACTTGCAACGGAGCTTAAGATTCACAGCAATTCTATCAAGTGAGACCCTACAGACTCAAAGAAAATGGGGGTGTATAATTAAATAACTCAATGATATGACACCTCACAGAGAGTACTCTACCCAGAAGGGACTGGTTTAAGATAAGACAAGCTTCATAAACACACAGAACTCGTTGTAATGATAGCAATAAACTCCTTCATCTCAATAATCTCACTATCATCAGTAGCCAAAACTCAACAATTAAGAGACAGACACAGAGTTGAAGAATAGATCAAAAAACTGAACCCAACTTTTACTGCCATATTTGTCATACTTGAATGTCAGGGAAAACATAATTCAACTCCAAAGGCTGGAAAACAATATTAGAAGGAAGTAATTCACTCAACAAATCTGGGATGGCCATATGTTGATAAGAGAATAGCGCTGTAGCACTGTCCACCCATTGTTCATCGATTTGCTCGAGAAGGCACCAGTAATGTCTCCAGTGTGAGACTTGTTGTTACTGTTTTTGGTATGTTGCATACATCATGGGTATACCATGCAGGCGGGATACTCTCTGTAGCTTGCCAGGATCTCCAAGCGGGATGGAGGAATTGAACCCCGGTCAGCCGCATGCAGGGCAAATGCTCTACCCGCTGTGCTATTGCTCCAGCTCCGAAAAGGGAATATAGACTCAAAATACAAAAGGTAGTAAAGGACAGGGAGGTCACTTTTTAATGATAATGGGGGAATATACATCTCACACTTCTAAATAGACTGTGAGAAGAAGATCTCACATTTCTTAATATTTTTGCACCTAATGATGGAACAGCAAACTATTTAAAACAACTACTAATAGACCTAAAGGAAGATACTGACAGAACCACAATAGTGGTTGGAGATTTCAACACCAATTTATCACCTCTGGATAGATAAACTAAATAAAAATTCAAAAAGGAGACACTGGCTTTGAGGGGGGAAAAATAGGAATGAAAAACTTGGCAGATTGACACTGGACTCTTTGACACCAATAAATACAATGCACATTCCTCTCCAGTGTTCATGAAAATTTTCCAAGATAGACCACGTTCTGAGTCGCAAAGCATGCCTCCATAAAGCCAAGAACATATTGATTTTATAAATCACCCTTTGAAACCATAATGTGTTTAAAAAGGAAGTTAATCACAAAGTTGAGAAAAAATCACTTCTGGAAATTAAACAACTCACTACTGAACCATTAATGGGTTAGAGAGGAAATCAAAAAGAAATTGAAAAATTTCTGAAAACAGACAATAATGAAGATACAAGCTACCAGAACAAATGGAACACGGCAAAAATGGTGTTAAAGAAGAATATTCATCAGAACGCAAACCTTTAAAAAGCAAGACGGGGCTCACATAAATAACCTAACTGAACAGCTTAAGCAGCTAGAAAAAGATCAACAAAAAGAACCAAAGCAAGCAGAAAGAAGAAAAAAATAAAATTTAGATCAAATGTTAATGAACTTGGGAAAAAAATGTCAATCAAACCAAGAGCTGATTTTTTTAAAAACTAAGCAAGATTGACAAAGTGTTGGCAACTCACAAATAAGAGAGAAAAACTTATCAAGCCAAATCAGAAATAAAAGGGAAATGTAACACTAAATATTACAGAAGTTCAAAGGATCATCAGAGACTACTTCAAAAATCTGTATGCCACAAAACTGGAGAACCTAAAAGAAATGCATAGGTTTTTGGAGACTTTTAACCTCCCAAAAATGAAACAAAAGGAAACAGAACACCTAAACAGACCACTTACTATCAAAAATTTAAAATATTAATTGAAAGTCTCACCCAAAATGAAAGCCTAGATCTAGATAGGTTTACTATTGAGATTTCCAAACTGAATTGTGAACAACCTTGTAACTGTGAAAAAAATGGTAAGTGAAAATATATATTGGCCAACTCAATCCAGTATTACATCAAAGAAGAACATCCACCAGGACTAAAGCGGTTTTATTCTACAGATATAAAGATGCTTTAATATATGCAAGTCAACAATACAATACACTATATCAATACAAGTAAAAAAAAACAGATATTCATACCAATAAATTAAGAGAAAAAACTGCACTGTAGCACTGTCTTCCCCGTTGTTCATCGATTTGCTCTAGCAGGCCCAGTAACATCTCCATTGTGAGACCTGTTACTGAGCTTGGCATATCCAATACGTCAACAAGTAGCTTGCCAGCCTTTGCCTTGCGGGTGAGATACTCTCAGTAGCTTGCCAACATTTGTAAAAATACAACACATACTTATGAAAAAATTGCTCAAAAAATGGGGATTTTTGGAATATTCCTCAATGTAACTAATGTAATTTTCACAAACATTATTCTCAATGGCAGAAAATTGAAAGCATTACCACGAAGACCAGGTACAAGACAAGGCTGCTCACTCTTCATACTACCATTCAAAATAGTGTTGGAATTCCATGCCACAGAAATCAAGCAAGAGAGACATATTCAGGGTATCCAAATGGGAAAAGAAGAAGTCAAACTTTCACTATTTGCAGCTGTCATGATGCTATTCCTCTATAACCCCAAAGACTCCACCAAATTGCTAATAGGAAAAATAAAATTACATAGTACAGTGCCAGGCTACAAAATCTAATTAATGCACACAAATCCATGGATTTTCTATATGCAAATAATAGAAAAGAAGAGATATAAATAAAAAAGAATAACACTCCCTCTCACAAGTATGGTCAGGAAATTAAGTGCTTGGAAATAAATTTAATAAAAGAGGAGAAAGAAATATAGAAAGAAAACTATAAAACACAACTAAAAAATTAAAAATTGATATGAAGCAGTGGTAAACATCCTCTGTGCAAGGACTGGAAGGATCAGTATTGTCCAAATGGCAAGTTTTCCCAAAGTATTATATAATTTCAGGGCAGTTCATATAAAAGCATCTATGGCATTTTTTAAAGACATGATGTTGAAATGTATATGGAGCAATAACACACCCAACCCCAAATAGTCAAAGCAATCCTAGGGAAAGAAATTTTTTTTCTTTCTCTCTAATTTTTAACCATAATGCAAAATTATAGTTATTAAAATGGTATGGTACTGAAATGATGACAGGTTCTCAGACCAGTGGAATAGAATAGAATACAGAGATAGATCCTCAGGTATGTGGACAGTCATCGACAAAGATGAAAAAAGTATGAGACAGAGCAAAAAAAAACTCATTAACAAATTTTGTTTGGAAAATTGTTCATCAAACACAAAAAAACTCACAAAATTTAGACCCCTTTCTAAAGCCATTCACAGAAGTAAAATTAAAACCTCTATATCAGGCTTCAGTTCATAAACAGTCTTGAGGAAAACATAGAACACTTCACAATACAAAATGTGTGGGTAGTTT